TTTACTGTAGAGAGATGCACCTTGATTGCATCATGTTCCCGAAGAGAAAACCGGGTAAAACATGATGAAATCAGTGTCTCAACTATCTTAACAGACACTTTCTTTTTAAGAGATCCTTTTATGTTAAAACTTTTTGCTTTTTATTCTTCTTTTATATATAAATCGCTACATAAGAATTCATGGATGTTAAGACAAATTGTTTGGTGAATTTTTGTTCCTGGCTAGGTGTACAGTCTCTTTTTTATACACGCATGTCTTTATCGTTGTGTGAAAGTCAAAATCTCAACATTGTTTGCTGAATAACAAAAATCTCCGATGTTAAATCGGGTATCTAGGTTCAAAATATCGAGCAAAAACTGTGATGAAGTCCATTTTTTCCCAATTTGTTTTTTTTTGAGCCGTTCAAACATGTACCCACTGATCAGAAATTCTTTTGACCTCAAATCTCCTTTTTTATTTGAACGAGCACCAGATAATAAAAAATCTTGAAGATGTGGGGCTAAACTTCACAAACTGAACTCTCCAATAGTGCGTGAGGCTATATGAGGAGCATCTGTTGCGGCTACGAGTGAAAAAACTGGCACATGCATTTTATGCAAAGTTGCCCCAAAACCACTGTTACGATCCGGTCTATTTTTTCGTAATTCCATACTCACAAATAGTTCAGTAAAGCAGTTAGTTAAAGGGTAACTTAGTTTACCTTCTAAAATGAACGAATGTTTGAATCAAAGTGAACTATTTTTTGTGTTTGACAATAAGTGTCCGTTTTGAATCACAATTAATATATACTGCTTTTTTGAAAAAGCGACCACTAACGGTGTGTCTATAGCAAAGAGAAGGAACAAAAACAAATGAATATTCAAGAAAACAAAGAGTTATACTTGTCAACCTTCATGTCAGCCATGCGGTTTGTGTTTTTCTGTCGCATAAGTATTGCTTTATATACAAATATAGACACACGAAAAATCACTTTATTTTTAACTAAAACTGGTTGTATTTAAACATTTCTTGTTATAATGTGACTTTAAAAAAAAGAGCTGTTTATAATATTCTAAAGTCTCAAATGGTTTATATGCTAGTAAAATAATTAGAAACAAGGTACGATTTTGTTTTTGTTGAGTTTAAATTATCCCAGGTATGTCTGCAGCAAAATCTGTTAAAGTTCAAGTTGACGTATCTAATTATGCATCGTTAAAAAATGAAAATGTGTGCCCGATGTGACAGCAAAAGTTATTTTGGCTTTAAAAGCAGAAAAAACTACCGCAAAAGATTGTGTTGTCCGTAACGCCTGTAAAAATGCAATCACACTTTGTCTGTCTAAAAAACGCAAAAACCCACCTACCGTATTAACTGTTTATGTTGACCGTAATAATGTTCTTGAACAGCTAGAAGAGAGTACCTCCGAACTGGATACTAATAAAGAGACAGAAATCTCAAGTGTTTTTAAATTAAATTTAGTTCTGCCTATCCCGCATATATACATTTTTTATTTTCCAATCAAATTTTACAGCAGAAATATGTAGCGAGGCAAAAATGCTCAAATATTTTAAGTAGAGCTCCATAACCACGGTTTTGACCTCGCTGAGTGTTTCTGCTGTAAAATTTGATTAGAATGCTCTAAAAAGTTGCTTGACGTCTCATTTTGCACAGAATTGAATGGCTCTGTCATTTGGCGTAAAAAGGAAGGTTCTACGACATGTCCTTCAGCGATAATAAGCTCTCAGCCTACATTAATCAATTGTATTAGAACGTTTCTTTTCTCCTTTGTTTTCTCTATCTGACACTAACCAACGCCTTTCACGGTCTGTTTTAATGCTTAAAATTGCATATAAAAATCCACATCCGGCAAGCGACGCAGCTACTTTTTTGTACCATGGTGCTGTCAATATACAGAGGTTTCTCCTACTTTTAGTTTAGCATATAAGAACGGTAAAACTGAAAAATCTTTTTTGCACAAGAGAAACAAACATTATATCAGTCTTCTACAGCGGCTCTTGATTATGTGAAGTTATAACGGAAGTCCAGCGTCATTTCTAATATCCTGTCTTTTTTGACGTACTTTTCCATTCGGCTGAACCTCCATCATTAAATTGCTTCTTCTCAGAACCGGTTCCATATTCCTTCATTTTATAATTTTTATCATTCAGCCGGCCTGTTGGCACTCTCTCAAGCCATGCATATATAGCTGGAGCTGTACCCTGTCCATGGACACCTGTCCATTTAACTTCACCTCCATAATGCGGTTGATATCCTCTTGCTTCATTTGCATAATCAGCATTGATTGAAAACCGAATAGTCCACTCTCGTCCACTAGCAGTTCGACCTGACAAATCGTAATCAACTTGAACTATACGACTGATTGAAGCGTTATACTCATGAAAAGTATTCATGGGACCTCGAGGATCTTGAACAATATTACGAATCCATTGCATGGCATTGCTGGGAATTTCATGACTTGAAATGTGAATCTAACATTTTTTTTATTACTTGTTCATTTGCCTGGGCTGGAGTTCGATATAAGGTTCCATTTCCTGTCAATTTGAAAACAAAAATATAAATTATATTTACAGTATTATTTAGGAAAAATACATTTCCTGTCAAAACATTCTTAAAGAAAGCTCGGTAAAAATCGACGCTTATTTATCCATTCAATCCCCTATTATTCCGTGTCCGATGCCGTTTCATTTCGGTTTTGATCGGTTTTCGATTGAGTTGGATTCATCTTTCCACCATATGATCCGAAATGCCGTAATGAATGAGCTTTTGCTCAGAACCTTAGAAAAGACCAAGTCATTGAACAGAACACACTCTCTACTTTTCTGCATCCTGATAATACCACACCATTACTAACTTTTTTTCCTGTAAAAATTTAACCCCCGCTATTAATGAAAGCATACTCGACCGGATTAAGTGAAAAGACCTCGCTTCTTCGAAATTTAGTAATAATGGCAGATAATTGATTTCTGCATCAAACGCTTTGACAAGTGAGTAAGTTTCATTCCACCTTTCAATATTCTTATCTGCATAGGTCAATATCCTTCGACGGGCGGAGGAGGTAACGGTGGAACCAAAGGTGGGGGAAGGGCTGGGGGTTACGGTAGTAGTAGTGGTAGATACAATGGTCAGTTCTCGCCAGCTGGAAAATGTGCTGCCGAGGTATGCCGCGGAACGACTGCAGACAAAGGCGGAGCCAGCCTGTCAAGAGCTACACCTGCGCAGATTGTATCATGTTCTGAAGGATCTCAAGATCTTAGACAACAGCAACAATATCGAAGTGGAAGTCCGGTAAGTGTGGACGTCAATTATTGTCATTAAGAGACTAACAAAACTTTGGTGAGAAAATGATAAAAACTTTATACGTCTCTTATCACTTTCTTAACGATTTCTTATTATAGCAGCTAATTCTTAACTTTTATATAAGAATCTTGTAAGTATCTTATCAGGACTGATAAAAAGTTTTTGTCTGGGAGAAAGAGTTAAAACTAATAACAATAATTTTTATTTCAGATTAACACGTATGAGATTTTCTTATTATGTCTGAATATGAACGAAGTCACATTTTCACTTTTTCATTCCCTCTAAACAATGGTCTCTTTTGATATGTTTCTCGCTGTAATCTATTAGTGATTATCAAAATTGTTTTTTCTGTAACTGAAGAAAGACAATACTTACCAGTAATTTCCTTGAAAAAAAGAATAATAAGCATTAGCAATTAAAGTATGTGTGAAAAATGTATAATAAATATACTCTTTTTCTATATTTTTTGTTTAGAAATAATTAAGAAAAACAAATATAATATATCCAACGAAAAAATATTATTTTTCAGTAAAAGAATTAACTCGTGACTTAACTTTACTCCTCAACTTTATACAGTGCTGTAATAAAAAAAGAGCTTGACCAATCTTTCCCTTGAACAAATATGTTGCAGGTGAGGAAGAAAAAAATCGCTTATGTTCAAGGATGAAAAACTCCCAATTAAGTTCTCTTATATACATCTTCTTTCCGTATTTTAACGCTTCATTGATTGTATAAACCTTGAATAACTAGTTTGTTTTTCTCCATACTAATTTATACTGATCACAAGAAAATTTAATAGCAGAGAAAAATAATTTCTTTCTCTCTTGTATATGATACCTAATGACACGTTACATAGAAAAAAAATTATTGTGATGGGTATAATAAAACTAAAGAGTGCGGTTAAAAGAACCGCAATATATGATAAATTATTTGTATTTAGCAATTTAAAAAAATTGCGAAATAAAACTACTCGCTTTAATCTTATATCAATCTGTCTGCGCTTTTATACGCTGTGGTTTAAAATATGCCTGACGGAACGTGTGTGTGCCTCGCATAAACTAATCGATTTTTCCTGATACTAGCGACTATTTTTAAGTATATGTTAGATGTTATTAAATTAACGTTTAGAATTGCTCCTATTGTTTTTTGTGAGAGTAGTTGTTAAACATTAATATGTTACTTATATTATTTGTTTCTGGCTTCGTTTATGCTCGTAGCATCTAGGTACGTATGCTAATATCCGAACTATGTATGAAACTACAGTTT